CTCTCTGAGCCTCCATTTCTTCATCTGTAAAATGAAGAACATACAAGTCTCTACTTGATAAAGTTGCTATGAGGACAAAAGGTAACATATATAATAAGCACTAAGAGCCCGGCCTGGTACATTTTATGTGTCCAATAAATGTTAATGATTTATTTTGCTATTGTGGTTATTACTAATGAAGTTTTTTCACGTGTCAATCCGTAACATAATTGAAGCTGATTTTCTCAAGCACCAAAACTCATTAAACCATCTTTTTCCTAAACTACTTTTTTGTGTGTGTGAGGAAGATCAGCCCTGAGCTAACATCCAATGCCAATCTTCCCCTTTTTGCTGAAGAAGATTGGCCCTGAGCTAACATCCGTGCCCATCTTCCTCTACTTTATATGGGACGGCGCCACAGCATGGCCCGATAAGCGGTGCATCAGTGCACGCCTGGGATCCGAACCTGCGAACCCCGGGCCCTCGAAGCAGAGCGCTCGCACTTGATCGCTGCACCACGGGGTCTGCCCCCTCCTAAACTACTTTTAAAGTGAATTCCATATATCTCCAATTTAACAAACATAAAACTTACACCCCACATATACAGACAGCTGCACCTACATCTCATCCCTGTCACCCGCAGTGCCCTTCCGTGGCCACCAGGACAGCTGTGGAAATACCTGAAGCTTCTGGTATCCACAGATTCAAAAATAGGGATAGAAAAGAAGCCATATTAAGCTAGAACTGCTTAGAGTAGTGTTCCGTTCAGAATTTGGGAAAAGAAAGATGAACACACCTGCTTAGAGTAATGGTTACCACCCAGTGAGTAGACAGGATTTTCAAAGTACTTTGGCCAAACACAAACTCTATCCTCAAATTCACCAGTAATAGTGATGTGCCATCTCTGCTGACAGCTGACACACAGCCAGTGGCCGTGGATACCTGGTGTTTGTTCATTTCTCACGAGCCACACCTTAAGCCCATGCACAGACTGTGACCTGGCTTCCACCTACCTCCCAATCCGCCTTTCTACTATGTTCTCCATGGGAGGCTTTTTAATTTTCCATACAGGAAGGACACCAGGCATCTTCCACATCTCTTTGCCTTGGCCTTTGCTGTTCTCTCTGCCTGGAACATGCCCTCACCTCTTACTATTACCCCATCTCACCATCCTTCAAGGCTAAGTATAAACACCATCTCTCTGGTTTCCCTCCTTCTCGCAGAATTAAATGCCATGTTCTGTGAACTTCCCAAGCACTTCGTTTGCGTTTCTACTGCTATAAGGACCACATGTTAAACAGAGGTATGTGGCGAGCATCCTTGTAGGTGCTTTCTGTATGCTATCATGTACTTTTCACTACCAACTTGCAAGAAATTTTTCCAAACCCCATTTTACAAATGAGGAAACTGAAGGTCTGGGAGTTGAACTGACCAATGACCACACGACTAGAAATGGATACCACCAGAACTGCAACCATATTCTGACAGCTCCCCAATCCACGCATTTTTCACTCTGCTCTGTTTCACTATGCCTCTCTTTGATGGCCCAATTTCCAACTGGTTAATTATATACATATACGCCTGTCCCATGGGATTACAGCAAATCTCTTGATGTCAGGGACTAGGCCATGTTCACCTTTATAAATGTGGATAATAATGTATCCACTTATACAAGGTTCTTAGGAGAATTAAATGAGACAATACATTTAAAGCACTTAGCAGAATGCCAGGCAGATAATAAGTACCTCATAATTTGTTGGTTTTGTTATTTTTGTTGTTGTTACCATGTCAGGTGCCAAGAATAAAGCCTTGCACATAAATTCTGAGCTGAAGTTTATTTCTGAGAAGCAAATTAAATAGGTAAAGACCTGATGAAACGGACAAATGCCATTCCGGTTTGGCATTTCCCCACACTACTTGACTACTCAAACAGAAGCAGCAAGCGTTGCACAGAAACTTTCTTAAGTTTCTATGACAGGGTTAGTTGCCTTTCTATCGCCAGGTGGTTGTTAGGAAAACTTTCTATTTAGTTCAGAACTGTTGCAGCTTTGTTACTTTCTTGCTGCCCTCTCCTATGCAATTTGTCAAGGTTCCCCTCTGAGAAGTCAGTACTTAAGTTCTGAGCCAGGAGAAGAAGAAAATCACAAAAGTAAATGGAAACGCAGAGGACAAAATGTAATCTGAAATTCTGGTGCTTATAAACATAGTGAAACACTTTCTTTTGTTTTCATAGCCTTTAACAGCACTTGGTCAATCGCCCTGTAGTAGGAGGTAAGCTGTCTCAGAGGAAGCAATCTGTCCATCCTGTTCACTGCTATCCCCAGGGCCTAACTCATATCTGGTACATAGTAGTCACTCACTAAATAGTGGTGGATTGACTGACGGCAATTATTGGTATGTATGTATATATGAATATACATCTATAGTTATGCATATACATGACATCACTCCATGGTTTATGAATAAAGGCACATATATCCCCACACATAAGTGCATACTGTATATTCATGTATATATATTTGTATTTGTGCAGAAGATATTTCAGACTGGAAAATACAGATACCTGTTTGCCAAAGTTGTGTCTTCTTAACATAATAAAGGCCTCTGGCTGACCTGTCAAATGTCACCAAACATATATGACTACCCATAAACTAACAATCCAGATGTTAAAAAACAATGGATTTTATTAAACATGCTGAGTAAAAATTTTTTTTGACTTAACAAACCACGATACTTTTACTATCTTTTAAAACTCCTCATCCCTGTTTACTAACTGAAGTATACAGAGGTAGGGGGGCATGCCACAAGATAGGGACCAGTAATGTTTCTCCGCAAATTTAGCAGGTGAAATGTTCCAAATTCTTATGGTCTGGCCAGATGTTCTTATCCAAGTTGTAATATATACAGAAAACTGTAATTTATAACAATTATAACATCATTGACTAAGTAAACATGCCAGACACTTGGCATCAGTTTTTTTATTTAAATCTTATACCAACCCTGCAAGGTAGATACTATTATCCTCGTTTATAAACAAGAAAACTCAGACTCAAAGAGAGAGCGTAACTTGCCAAAGATACTCTGCTGTTTATCTAGTCATGGCACAGCCAGTCTAAAAATCCAGGATTCTACTCTGAAGTCCAAACTCTTTTCAATAAGCATGGTGCCTCTTACACGGTTTTATAGGGACTAACTTTAAGGAATAGGTGTTTAGGCGGTTTTTACAGTGTATGGATTTTAATAAGTAATTCTCCACACACAGAGACTAGACCAAATGACAGCGAAACACACTGAAGATTACTCCAGGCTACAGACAGCAAGGGGCAAATGTGTCTCAGAAACGATCAGCCTGTCTTTCCCAGAATATGAAGCGTTTTCCACTTGATTATGTCCTCCAAAAGAAATCTATTCTCTAACACAGCTTCATTATTCCTCCTTACACAAAAAAATGGACTCTTTCATTGCAAACCAATGGGAAGTTCTTCACTCATTTCCTTATATCACTTGAAATGAAAGTACCTTCTGTCTTTAGAGAAAAGAATTGCTGGATGCTATGCCTTTTGGGTGCATTTGAGTCCAACAATCAAGACCGTGAAGGTGAGAGAAAATTAGCCCTTCTACACGTTTAAGGAGAGCGGGTTTACTTTTTAACTTAATGATAGCAGAATTCTAAAAAAGAGAGAGAAGGCAAGTCTTCCCTCCCAGTTTAGAGAATTCAGCTGCCTTCCCCTGAAAGAAATGGCTATTATCTTTGACCTTCTTTCCAGGAGCAGGCCTGAGATGGAGAGGAAAACCATATGTTTTAAAAGTTTTTAAAAATTTATAGATGTTTCTGAACATTTGTAACTAACGGGAGCGAAAAATGTTTAAGCTGGCTCTCACCCGCCCATATACTGCCTAGAAAGATCCTATGCAGAGCAAAGGAAAGCACTCCCCACCCAGACCACTTCAGTCACAGGAAGGACCCACTGCAGCATCTTCAGCCCTAGGGACTGAAGGCGAAAGGGACATCAATGGAAGCACTGGTGTGTCCCCTGAACACGCCCAGGGAAGCTGAGAGGAAGGGGAGCTCTCCTTTCCCTCCAATCTACATACAACACCTGCTGCCAAGAACTTATATTTAGACACTTAAACTGAAATTCACAGAAAGGAGGGGAAACCACAACCTCTAAGTAATCCTCAGGGTTCTGATATCCAACCTGGTTTTAGTTTTTTGTTTGTTTTCTGATTTCAAGTCCCTACCTAAAGCACATCTCCCACCCTTCAGAAGGCATCCACAATCTAAGAAAAGAAAAAGAGCTGGGAGCTTGAGAGCTTGATGTGATGAAAATTCCAGCTCTGACACCTCAAAGGTACATGACCTTGGGGAAGTAACTCATCCTTCCGAAGACAGTCCGTGGTTGGAAAGATGGGGATAATATCTGTTATGAGACTCAAAGTTGTTGAGATTTCAACATAAAATCACACAGTAGCCAGATCTTAGTAGGGCATCAGTAAGTGTCCTATGTTTGTTACGGGCATACTACACAAAGCAACCGGATCCTGGCTGCGTGTCCATGTTTTCACTGCCCAAGATATGCCCATCACTCCCCTCATTAGTGATTTATGTTACCAGCCATTCGCCTAACCTCAGGAAGAGGCCTCGGACCTGCTTCTAGTTCTCTATAGCTTCAAATGTCTGCAGAGCCCAAGACAAATTCTCATTAAGTGCAAGGGACAAAGTTAGCCTGGGTTCTCCTTCCCACTGGTTATCGGCAAATCGTTGACTACAACTCAAGCTTGGACAGAAATGCCTACAGGCTTTACATGGGCAAAGCAGGTGTCTGCACATCTCTTGGGGAAAGCGGGTGAGGAAGGGCCCCTGACTAGTCTCCAGGTAGGGAATGGAAAAGAAAGGGAGTAGGACAAGAAAGACTGGATGAAAGGGATGCCTCTGCGAGGCGGTCCTCGCCGGTGCCCCTGTCCTCGACGCAGTGGGAGGAAAGGACAGGAGCGGGAAGGAGCCGCGAGGGCAGGAGTACCTGAAGACTCTGGCTGCCGTCTGGTTCCTCCTCCACGCCGTGCCCTGTTGCAGCACCCCCTGCACGATCTCCTTCTCGTTGGGCAGCCGGTAGACGGGGAAGATGTAGAGCCAACAGAGGACCACGACGCAGAGGGCACTGGCTCCCACCGGCAGCCGGGTCCGCGGGAACTTCCACGCCAGTACTGCCATGGCCCCTCTGGACGTGTGGCGCCGGGCCCGCCCGCAGGGGCTCATTGCAGCCCCGGGGTCCCGGGGGCGAGGGCCAGAGCCTCAGCACAACGCTCGGCGAAGTAGCAGCGGAAAGTCCCCCCACCGCCGGCCCCCCATGCACACACACCTTTCGATTTCTTGTTTGCACCCGCACGCACACTTCTTCGGCCCCCACGGCCCCAAAGGTCAGAGCAAGGATTTTTTTTTTAATGCAACTTTTTCAAGGATTTCTTTCTAGGGGAAGTGGCCGGGGGGGCAAGTCACGAGCTATGGCCATGGTCGCTTCCCCTGCAGAAGGCGGGCGCTGGGGTCTCCGAGAGTGCAGAGAGCGGCGGTGGCGAGTCGCTCCCTCCAGTTCTGCAGCATCACGGTCGCCCTCGGCCTGGGTCCGGGGAGATGCTCGGCTCCCTCCTGGACATTTGGTCGGCGGCGTCCCCCTCTGAGAGATGCTCCTGCGCCCTTCGCCGCCTCTCCCCGCCTCGCGCGCCGCTGCGCCGCCAGGCACCCCCCAGACGCGCTCTCCGCGCCGCGCCAAGTCCTTGGAAATTTCCACGGCGGCCCGGGACCGCTATCCTGCCCCGGGCTTCTCCGTCTCGCTTGCCAAGACCCTCGCTCCCCACTCCTCCCGGAGAAGAAAAGAACTCGCTCTCATCAGTTAATTCAGCGGCGCGCCGCAGCCTTCCGCTGCGTCCCGGACTTCGCAGACACACGCCCGGGGATTGGTGGAAATCAAGGTCTCCCCTCCCTCCCCCACCCGCAAAATTGCCTCCTTCGACCGGTTCAGAGCGGCGACGCTCGCTTGGAGCGCGCGCCCCTCTCTCCCGCCCTTGTTCTTTGGAGAGAGAGGCAAACAATAAAAAATACCTAACCCTCCCCCCCAAATATATATATATATATATATATATAAAAATCCCTGAGTGTGGCGGAGGCAGGCTGATAACCTGACCCCTGGACACCCAGCCGGCGTGCCGGGACTGTCACCTTGCCGCTGTCACCCTCTTCTGTAACTGGTTGGTTATTAACGCGCAGCGAGGCGCGAGGAGGCCGGCGGAGATTTACTCCTCGCTGGGCCCCCTCCCCATTACCCGGTCCCGGAGCTGCGGCTCCTGCCGACACCCGTGCGCGCGCGCGTGCACACACAGACACACACTCCGACGCTCACGGGCCCGCGCGCGCGCGCACGAGGCGGTGCGTGCACACCGGGGTCCTCCGCCTCGCCTCCGCCCTGCAGGGAGAGGCGCTACTGCATCCAGATGTGCCGGCAGCTGGTGCCCCAGCACGCTGACTTCGGGACGTGACAATGCTTTGGAGGAGCGTTCGCCTCCCCCGCCTTTTAGAGTAAAAGGCCGTTTGTTCTTAGACGTCTTTCTAGCTCCGCGGACTAGCTGATCGCACCCCCGACCTTGAAAAAGCTCCACCCGGCTAGACCCGCGGAGCCGAGGGACCCGCTGTTAGCCATTCATGCTTGCCTTGGCGGCAGACGCACAGCTCGGGTACCTCCTAGCGGTTGCCTATTCCGTTTGCTTCAGCATCTCGTCAAGCATAAAGTGTGCAAGGACAAAGAAGAAACCCGGCAGCCTGCTAACCGGGTCGGCTTAGTCATCACGAAACAAAAAGCTAAGGCCGTGGCTGCATTTGCTCAGCGGTCCAGGCTGCAGCACCCAGAGCAACCTACCCTGACTGCTCCATGGCCTGGTGTCTTTCCCGAGCATCTTTCCCCATTGAAAAGTAGAACTTGAGAAGTTGATAGAAAGTTGTTTAAAAAAAGCGACCACCGTGGTCTCATTCTTCCCACACTACTGTGCTCTCTTAGGAGAATGACCCGCTGCCCTCCACTGGCATGCATGCCTCAGAATCTCCCCTACTTAGGTAAATCAGTAGAGACGGGAAATCGTGAAACCCGAAGTTACATCTTTGCCCAGTGGAGCCTAATAAAGATTCTTTGAAATGAAGATCGTCCGAAGTCCTGCAAAGTAACCAACCCGCCGTCTTCTGTTCTGGAAAGGGGGGAGGAGGGAGGCAACGTTTCCCATAGTTGCCCCAGCTGTGGATAAATCATTTGCCACCTTTGTTCTTATAATTTAATTAAAACACAAACCATGCCAATTTCTCTTTCCTTTCTCAAATCCAAGGGATACTTGTGGAGTAAATAACAAATAAATAAGCCAACAACCAAAAATAAGACATATTGCAGTTAAGAAGGGACTGTGTAAATGTTTCCACATTTAACATCATAAAAATGCAGCAAAGTTATGCCTTAAATCGAGAGACTTCTGTGATGCAACGTGCTGTTTTTCCTTCTTCTAAAAACTAAGATTTTCTTACCCTTGTTGACTCTTGCGGACCCTACAATCTAGCCTCTTTTCCTGCTTTCCCTTATCATGAACTCGGAATCTAGTCAGGCCATTGCCCTCCCCCTTCCAAGTCACACAGGCATGATTTTGGTCTCTGTGTTTTGGAGTCTCTGTTGTTCTTCCACGGGATGTCCGTTTTCTCCCTCCATACAAATCCAATGCGTCATTCAAGACCAACCCATGTGGCTGGGAATTTCTCCCTCATGTGTTCCCAGACCACCTAAAACACAGGCTTCTTGGGGTAGGAACTCAAATGTTTGTGGTTTCTGTTCCCATTCCTACTCTGAATGTCTGTAGGATTTGCTGGCTCCAAAAGATGGTTAAACACTCAGACGTGTTGTTTTGTGTTGCCAGCATTTTTCATATGTAACTCTATCTCAGCGACTGGGCAGTAGGAGTATTTGGTCTCATATATCATATGACAAGCCTGTGCTTTTGACCCAAATGAGGACTCCACATGACATGCCTACATGTCTGGGGGGAGAGCAGAAAAAATATTTTATATTTTCTTCATATTCCTCCAGGTACCAACTCAGGCTTGAGCACATACTTACTCAACAAATAATTGTTGCTTGATTGTTTGCTTGATAAATTTGAGGGCCTCAAATTTGTTCCGGCTATTGCTAAGGCAGCACTGTTTAAGGAGTGCTGTTTAATGTTTTAAATGAAATGGTTTACCTAATATTTATGTCTCTGGTTTATATGACTTCTGGTAGACAGGTTAGGTATTGTTTTATAATTCTGCATCTGAGTACACAAGCAGGGTTTGCTCAGGGACTAAACAACTTTTAAAACTCTACAAATGTTTATTTATGGAACCAATAAACATGATTGCAAAGCTACCTTATCCCATAAGTAAACTTGATGGGCAGCTCTTTTGTGACATCAGAGTTGTAGTGAAAGCCTGTATCAGATCCTCTAACTGAAAAGTTGAGAGAGATCAAGATGCGGAAAGATGATCAGAGTGAAAGGGACACATGCAATTGACAAGCTAGCTTGGATGCTAATGGGTGCGAAGACAAACGATAATAGTCTCATAGAAGTCTGTCATTAAAAGATTAAATAGAATTGTCAATGATTTGAGATAAAAAGTTTCAAACATATCATCCTGTCTTCAGTCTCCTGTCAAGTTCTTTTTGTCAGATCGGCTTGGAATGAGAGACAAAAGCATAAAAACATGCCTTTTTTTTTACAATCAGTTACAACACCAAAGCCAATAGGGTTGTAGAATGAGAAAGGCTATGAATATAGTTTCTCTGAATAAATGCATTTGCTTATCTCCACTTCCTCCTGCGAACCCCACTAAAAAGATAGTAAAGGAATTAAAGGAGGCACAAACTCAAAAGAACAGGAGAAAGGAAGGGATACAAAAGCAGACAAATGGTGTCGAAAAGCTCACAAGCAGATAAGCAGTTGAACAGTGATAACTGATTTATCAGAATGGAGAAAGCTCTGGGCCCTCGAGTGATTGTGTGTGTGTGTGTGTGTGTGTTGGCACAGGATGGGGGAGTATAGACAGAAGCCAACAAGAATCAAGCTAATTTGCACTACAGACCTTTTGAAAGGCTCAGGAAGTAGAGGTACCTGGTACCTACGGAGGTGGAGGTGATGGATAAAAGAAAATAAGAGATTTGTTTGAAAGTCTTTAAAAGGAGTAATGAAGCTTCTAGATCTCATTGAGAGATTGACCAGCGCAAAGGAGAAGAGCTACAGATTCTTATATGCGCAGGAGGTCTCCAATCAAACAGCCATATCCCTGCCTATCACCCTGTGGTGAAGCCCACAAGTAGATTAGCTGTACTCACACAGAACTGCTAGCCTCTTTGGTAGGCCTCATTCTTAAATGAGAGTGGAGAGTCAAGGGTCTCCAGACATTTGAAGAGTCTCCAACATGATAGCAGAGACAAAACAAGCAAACAAAAGAACCACACACACAAAAATCAACCCGCAGGGCCGGCCTGCTGGTGTGGTGGTTGAGTTCACACTCTCCGCTTTGGGGGCCTGGGGTTCACGGGTTCGAATCTCCGGCACGGACCTACGCACCACTTATCAAGCCATGCTGTGGCAGGCGTCTCACATAAAATAGAGGAAGATGGGCACAGATGTTAGCCCAGGGCCAATCTTCCTCAGCAAAAAGTGGAGGATTGGCAACAGATGTTAGCTGAGGGCTAATCTTCCTCACCAAAAAAAAATCAACCCAGAGAGGAAAAGAATAATGCAGAAAACATAAGAAATCTTCAATAAAAACTATAATTAATATTTTCACAGGGATAAAAGACAATCCATGAAGCAAGAACCAAAGGAACATTCAGATGACAAAAAATAAAGTTCTTTAAAATTAAAAATATGGTATACACGCACACAATTCATAGAGGAGTTGAAATACAAAGTTGAAGAAGTATCCCAGAAAGCAGGCCAAAAAGGTAAAAGAGTATAAAAAATATTAATAATAAATTATAGACTCAAATGAAAAATAAACATCAAAATAATTGGAGTCCAAGAGGATAAAAAACAGAATGGAGACAATTTTCAAAGATATACAAAAAAAAAAAAAAAAATCCTAAAATTAGAGTCTATTAAAGACTCAACATAATGAATAAAAAAGACCAATAACAAGGTATATAACAAAGAAATTTTAGAAAACAAGGAAGGGAAAATCATGAAAGATTTAAAAAGAAACACAAAGGATTTGAAATAATGGCATTAGGCTTATCAAAAACAGTATTGGAAACTACAAAAAATAGTATTAGGCCGTCAAAATTCTTAGGGAAAATTTTTTTCAACCTGGAATTCTATGTCCAGCCAAAATATGGCTCAAACATGAAGGTGGAATAAAGACATTTTCAAATGCAAAGTCTTAAAAACTTTATTCCCATGCACTCTTTCCTGGGAAGATACTGGAGATACTCCACTAAAACAAGAGCTGGACCAAGAAAGGAGCTAGGGATCCAGAAATCCAGGGCTCTCATGCAGGAGAGAGACAAAGGGAATTCCTAGGGAGACAGCTGTGCCTCGGATCCAAAGAGCAATCAATAACTTCTGGTTTCAGCTCAGAAGTAGCTTGGAAGTTGGAACTTCCATCCTTCCATGAAAGCTGAGCAAGTTGAAAATCAACAACTTTTTTTGTACCCAACAAAGAACTGAGATCACAACACACACCACCACCCCACAATCTGAAGAAATAGGCAAATCCAGAGTCAGAGCTAGATCGCTTTTTCTGGAGCAGAAGATGCCATACACTGTTAGGAAAAGTTCAATGGCAATTTGGAATTGGTAAAAATGGAAATGCTGGAAGCTGAATGTGGACTAGCACGAGAGTGAGCAACGCCCAGGAGTCATAGTCAGGTGGGCCACCACACTTTTGTGTTTTACCTCCAGAAATCCCACCAGGTTCTCAGGATGAAAAGCTGAAAAGGATCCTCTCAGGGCTTTGCAAAGAGTAGAGGAAGAGTAACCGTTGTGAAATGTGC